TGTGTGTGTGTGTGTGTGTGTGTGTGTGTGTGGAGAGACACAGAGGGAGAGACAGAGGGGGAGAGAGAGAGCAGTCAGCACCTCTCTCCACCCGAGGCTGAAGGTCAACAGACGATCATGCTAAGCTTGCTAACTCTTCCACCCTCTGACTGCTGCAGGGGCGTGTCTTAGAGAGAGGCTTTTATACCAGAACACAGCTGGAGAAGACACGTCACCGTGGAGAGCCGTTAACCAATATGCAAATTAGCCTGCAGTACCACTGCTCTACCCATATGAGCAGCAAAAAGACGTTTTTAGACCAAATATTACAGATTTGGACAAATACACACAAAAACATCAAAATTAGCACAGAAACAGTACTATATAACATTTTAGACACATTCTAGACAGTTTATCAGCTAAAAAAAGTTAATTTTGGGGTAAGTTACTCTTTAAAGCATCTATCTACTGTTTTGCTACTATTTCACATTTTTAAAAGCTTTTATCTACAGTTTTGCTTCTTTCAGGTATTTTTAGCCATTGTTTGGCTGCTTTTATAAAGTTTATATGCTCTTTGTGTTAAGTGCCTGTGACATGCATATCCATGAAATACAAAAAGTCAAAGAAAATATATTTGCATTTAAGAAACTTGGCATAATACACATGATTTTACCCGTTACGTTACATTATTGGCATATTTCTTCTGAATTTGGCTTGTCTAAAGTGAAACAGGAAGTGACATCAAAGGGGAACTTTTTGAGAAAGAAAACTTCCTGGTTTTTATTTATTGAAACAATATTATTTGAATTAAGACTCTTTCTCATCTCTCTATGATAGTGATTAAAATAATCTAAAGAAACGTCAGATTCTTCTCTACAGTCTGTGTTGTTAGCCATTTTAGCAACACTGTTTACATTCAGACATTCCCCTTTGACATCACTTCCTGTTACTTCACATGCAAATATCTCAACAACTGTTCATCTCAGCGACGTGAAATCGTTTTTACTGTATGTTGTCAATGTTATTTTTCCAAAAATACATTCATATTTATGGAATAAGATAACTATCAGAATTAATTGTATGTGCAAGAGTCTAAATTTGTACATGTAAGTCAATAAATGTACATAAATTTTAGAATTGTACAATAAACGTGTATAAATTTTTGATTTGTATTTGTATTCATGTCAAATCACATATGTTTTATGAGAGAATACAAGTTTTGAAGTTACAAATATAAGTTAAAAAGTTACAACTTTGCCACATTACTAGTACGAATCAAATTTACAAGTACAATTCTTTTACCCGTCAAAATAACAGACTTTATGCATGGAACACCGAAAAGATCGACTGCAAACAGTAACTAAGCCAGACCACTAGGGGGACATGACCACTGCCTCATTTGGGACAAGACAAACTCTTTGTAAACACAACAATTTGCTGAAGGGAAAAGCATTCGAAGGCTTTTATATGTATATACTGTATATATATATATATATATATA